CACATATTTATGTAAAGACACACACAGAGAGATGTCAGAACCATTTTATATTCTGGCTGCTTCATTTACAAAGATATTATGAACATTTTATGTGTTATTAAATAATTTTTCTATATCATCATTATTAAAAACTATCGCATTCTATCATACCAACATATAATAATTTTAACCAGTTCTAGTAGCATAGTACCTAAGGCATTTGACTGCTAACCAGAAGGCTAGCAGTTCAAACCCACCAGCCTCTCCTCAGAAGGAAGGTTGGGCAATCTACTTCCATAGTGATAGTGCCTCAGAAACCCAAGGAGGGGTTGCTATAAGTTGGATCCGATTCCAAAGCAGTGGGTTTGATTTTTGTGTGTTTGGTATTCTTTTGAGATACAATTCAATTGTTGTTTTTGTTTTTTTGTTTTTGGCTCTTACAAAAAACTTTGAGATATACATGGTTATATATAAATCCTTCAGCATGTGTCTAATTGTCATCTTGAGTTGAATTCCTAAATATGGAACTGATGAGTAAAATAAGATGAGTATTTTTAAGGTTTTTGATTCATCTTGTGAAATTTCCTAACAGAAAAGATATACCAAATCATTGTTGCAAACAATGATGAGTGCCCATTTACTGAAAACCTCATTGGTGCTATGTTTTTGGGTAGGGAAGGTACTGCTCACTGTTTGTCTATGTGAAAGTGCATTTAAATCAGTCTGGTGTAGTGGTTAAAGCATTCGGCTGCTAACCAAAAGGTCAGCAATTTGAACCCACCATCTGCTCTGTGCGAGAAAGATAAGACAGTCTGCTTCTGTAAAGATTTCCAAGCTTGGGAGCCTTATAGGACTACTCTGTCCTGTATGGTCGTTATGAATCAGAATCAACTCAATGGCAGTAGGTTTGGTTTTGGTTTATTTTTGAGAGAATAAAATTTACAACATCATCACTCTTCTGGTTTTAATAATATGGGGGAGCATTCCTTTTATGAGTTTTGAGTTCTTCAAGTACACAGTAATGTCTGTGTTGAAGCCATAGATCACAATGTGTGTATGATGAGCAGAATTCTGAGATTGCTGACCCTGGTGTACATACACCTTATCCTAGTTATTCAGTCAAACACTAATCAAGGCATTATTTTGAAGGACTCTTACAAATATAATTATGGTCCTAAAGCAACTGATGTTAATAAAAGGTAGATTATCTTGTGTGAGCCAGACCTCATCAAGTGAGCCTTTAAAAGGACAAAACATAAGGATTTGAAGCATGAGCAAGATTCAGCATGAGGGAGACACTCCATTACTGGCTTTGAAGGTGGAAGGGGCCATGTAGTAATGAATGCTGGTGGCCTCTAGGGGCTGAAATGGTTGTCAGATGACAGCCAGCAAGGAAACAGGGACCTCAGTCCTACTATTGCAAGGAAACCATCTGAATGAGCCTAGAAAGTATTCCAAGTTCTAGGTGAGAACTCAGCCACTGACACTGTGATTTCCTCCTGGTGAGATCCTGAATAGAAAACCCATCCACCTGTGTTATGCCTGGACTTCTGACCTGGAGAATTGTGAGTTCATGGATAGGTATCATTTGAGCTGCTAAGTTTTTGGTAATTTGGTACACAGCAATTAAAATCTAATTCCCAGTATTTCTAAATTTGAATCTAGATATTTCTTTGGAAACATCAGACATAAGCAGAGGAGAGGACAGGTGTGTGTGTTAATGTACAAATAATTTGTTACTACTAGATTTTAAATGAAGTCCTTAGTGACTACTTACTGAAAGGTTGGCCATTCAAACCCAGAGGCACCTTAGTAAAAATGCTTGGAATCTACTTCCTAAAGAAAAGCCTATGGACCTTGCATACATGAGTTCACCATGAGTTGGAATCGATTCAAACACAAATAACAGCAGCAGCAGATTTTAAATAATGTTGTTGATTAGAAACAGAAAATTTGTTGCAGGTCTGCCTCAGGTTATGGCTTTGAAGAAATCACCAATGTTCTTTAGGTTATTGGACCTTCTTGATCATTCTGCCTTCTTGACAGGTCTTTCTTCTGATTCTCTTACATTGACCATTCCTTTTTGCCTTCTTTGTGAACTCCTCCTCCACCACCTCCCCTGAGTGCTTAGTGTCCCCAGGGGTGATTAGCCACTCTGCTGTGTGATCTCAGCCACTCTCATGATGTCACTATATTCAGGTGCTACTGACTCTTAACATCCCTGTCTTCATCCCTGACCTTGTCCAGATTTAGGGAAATCACACAGGAATGGTCACAATCAGATTTGTTCACTCCATTTCTTCATTTATCTCAAATTGATGGCTTTAGTTTCATCAGGAAAAGAGATAGTGTCATGTGCAATTTTGTTAGAGGGTCTGTAGTTGGCAGATAGCACTTCTTTCTGCTTCTGAGTTGTTAGGTCTGTCATCTAAATCCTCATGTATAAGGCAGTAGTAGATCATAAACCCAGATAAATCCTAAAGGATGAGAAGGAAACCTCAAAATCTTGAGAGTTGAGAGGGGCTTTAAGAACTGTCCAGCCCAGATCTCATTTGGTGATTAGACCTTCCATCAAATGGTTGTCTGGCTTCTTCTGGAACTTCTCTGAGACAGCCCATTCAGTTTTTGGAAAGTTTTAAGTGTGAGAAGGTCTCTTTGATGTAGAGAAGAATGTCAATTATATACATTGTATACATTCATCCTGGTTCTGCCTAAAAAGAATTTAATCTTTATTCCACAAGACAGCTCTCTAGCTAAAGGAAGCAGTTCTTAGATTCCTTCTGTGTGTCCTCTCTCCAAATTTAGCATCACCCTGTGCACCTCCCACCCGCAGCCCTTCTCTGATGAACTCTATTTTCTTGATATCTTTTAAAGTATAGAATTCAGAATGTAACCAATCTCAATGTCAAAGAAGTAGACTAATACTATTGCTTCCCTCATTGTTAGTGCAGACTAGGAGTGCATTACTTTCTTGTCAGTCATGATGTGACTCAGTCGTCAAGCCAAAGGCTTTTGTTATGCTTTGTTTTTCAAAAGATATTCTTGTTAAGTCACATTTCTTGCATCCTGCACTAGATACAATTACATTTTTTAGCTTGATTGTAGAATTTTACATTTAATCCTATCAAATGTTGCCTACATCAGGCTGAGTGTGCTAGTTACAGGCCCCCATCTGTAAGGGAGGGCTTTGTCAACCACAAGGGGTCTCATGAAGGTTAAGAGGTTCCAACACCACCCTTCTCATTCAGTAGCAACAACCCTAGGCTTGGTTGGGGGATTTCCTTTTCAGTGACACATGGCACAAAATTACTTGTCCCTAAGTGAAAATCTGGACATGAAGTGCCCAGTGTATCTTTTATAAGAACTCAGATAGCATATATATGGGGGAGGATGTGAGTTAGAACTGGCCTAGGTACAGAAACCCAAGGGAGTGACCACAAGAATTAGGCTTTCCTGAAGGAGAAAAAAATGTTCCAAGAAAATGTCTTCAATCAACCAGAATCATAAGTTATATGTGGCAGTGACTATTAACCTCTATCTCATTTTTTTAAACTCTATAAAAGAGATTCTTTGTGAACATCAAGGTCATGCTTGTGAAGCACTAGAGACTCCAGGCTGAGACAGTGGAGAGATGCAGAATTAGCTTATAAAATCTGTTTGGCTTTAGCTAGCATTATCAAGCAGCCTGCCAGGCTGTGAGACATTGGAGCTCCTAAGGATGTCTTGAGAATGTCTGGGTCAGGACTGACTCTCAAAGGTGAGCTAATTTTAGAGTGAGACCTTCACCTACTTGCTCTTCATTTTCTTGCAGAACATTAGGCCTGAGTGAAGATACCTGAATTTTGCAAGTCCTCAGTGAAGTCATTTTACCGATGTCATGTACTGAAGTAGCGATGCTGGGCCCCCACAGCCCACTTAGCAGGCATTTCTCAGCAGGGTGTCATACTAGCATTCTGCAGGGGACCAGTTCACTTAGCAGTGTTGCTCTATGCATTGCAGGACAGTTAGAGTTAGCATCACTACCCACCCAATGTCAGTTAGGGCCCCTGCATGGTGACAACCACAGGTGCATACTACCAGCTTGTGAATTAATTCTTGCCAGCAAAGGCCCACAGAAAAATTCCATGAACTATTTTCTCTGAAGGAGAGTATTATTAGTCAATACCTATATGATTAATTCTTCCTGGTTTAGTCAACCACAGAGAGACCCAAACTCTATTTGAACCTATTCACATTTCCATCATCCACTTTGATGATGCTAATGGAAAAAGTGTGGGACAAGGAGTTTTAAAATTGATGAATAATTCCAGTACATGCTCTTTTTGGTCCTGGGATCCCTGGCAGGCTTTTTTTTTTTTTTTCCTTTTCTAGTTGTAGTAAAATATAGATCCATGAAGTTTACCATTTTAAGTATACAATTCAGTGGCATTAATTATGTTCACAGTATTATACAACCGTCACCATCAGACTGTTTTAAATTCCTCACCCTACTTCCTTCTTTGGAATATGAGGTAAATAATATATGTTTTGCCTGCATTGTGGAATTCCTGTTAAGGACAGTGGAATAATAATTATGGATATACTTTTAAATTAAAAAGCAGTATTCAAATGTAGAATGCATGGTAAGTTTATTCCTAACAGGCAGAGTAGCCTTTACTTTTATTTATTGTAAATGTAAATTACTCCACTGTTTCAGAATGAGGACTGTGTCTATTTTGATCAAGGTTCATTATTTAGTAGCTAGTTATTTTCCTTGTCTGTCTTGACCTTTATAAACTGAAGAGCCCTGGGCCTGATCATGAGCTTCCAGGGTTGAGATTGGGTTTAGTGATGCTCTGGGGCCTCTCTGGAGGTGGAACAGATTTGGGGCATGATCTGGGCCATGGAGCCAGTGGCTCAAAGAAAGGGTGGATTTCCCATGAATTTGCAGCATAAAGAAGGGAGCCATGCTTCCTGGATCTTTTGATTCTCCTGGCTCCTGCTGCTTTGAGTGCACTGATTCCTGTGTATTTCTGTTTAAGATATACGTCCACCTGAAGGAAGGTGGGGGCCCAGATGGATTGGATGCTCTGAAGAATAAGCCCCAACTCCATAGCCTGGTTGCCAAGAGCCTTTGCCGCAATGCAGCCGGCAAGAACTACATCATCTTCACGGGGCCCAGTATCACCAGCCTGACCCTTTTTGAAGAGTTTGAAAAGCAAGGTTTGTCAAGTGGAGGGCTGGTGGGAGCAGGGATCCTTCCTCCTCACAGAAATGGGTAGGAGAGGCCAGAGGGGATGAGTGCCTCCTAGGAGCTGGACTCTGTTGCACAGCAGCCTGAAGGTACACAGCTTATGGACTGGGTGACTTTTTGTCACAAAGCTCTGCTTGGGCTTCAGGAATGCAATTCCTTGTATATTCTTTGTTGCATGGCTCTAGCCATCAAAGGAGTTCTTCTGAGGTACAGCTCCTATTAAGGCTCTCAGGGAGTCTTATGAACTTACTCGTAAGCTATCACATAGACCTTTCCCAGATGACAGAAGAGCATTTGTTTTCTGAAAATAATTATGTAGATTAATGCAGGGAATGATGCAGTAGATTCAGTTTTTACTTAGTTACCCCAGTAAAAAGATGCTTGGTTTGTTTGTTGCAAAATCAAAATCAAACCAAATTCATTGTAGTTAAGTCAATTACACTTCATGACGACCCTATGTGTTACAGAATAGAACTGTTCCATTGGGTTTTCTTTCCTGGTGATCTGCTTCAGAAAGGTCACAGCTGTGAAAACCCTGTGGAACAGTTCTTCTCTGCACACATTGTGTTACCATGAGTCAGAATAAACTCGACAGCAACTAATAACAACAAATCTTTATGGAAGTACTTCACCAGACCTTTCTTCCCTGGTGCCTTTGGGTGGGTTCAAACCACCATCCTTTGGTTAGTAGTTGAATGCAAAACATTTGCACCACCCAGGTATCTACATTTGTTGCAAAAAATGGGGCAAAACCATCTACAGCTCTGGCAGGGATGAAAAAGCAAAAACCAAACCCACTACCTTTGAGTCAATTCCAACTCATAATGATCCCCATTGGGTTTCCAAGGCTGTAAATCTTTACAGATATAGATTGCCTCATCTTTGTCATACAGGGCAGCTGGTGGGTTTGAATTACAGACTTTCTGGCTGGTAGCTAAATGCCTTACCCACTATGCCACCAGAATTCCTTCTGGAAGGGCTATAAAAAAGAAGATTTGGAACCAGTCAGGAAACCCATACTAAGCAGCATTGCCTCCACTGTGTCCTGACCAGGAAATTGATACTGAGTCCACTAAGAAAATACAGCCATTCTGTTCATCTATAGCACCCTCCAGAATTGCAGACTATTACTTAGTGACAAGTCAGAAGTCTGGCTTTAAAGTTCAGTCCTCTTCAGTAATAGAGGTTGGCAGTGCGTCAATGGCTGGGGCTGGATCTTACTCATCTGCATATTCCCAGTACCCAACAGGACCTACTTGTGAATACTCAGTATTTATTTGCCAAAAGAATTAAGTGTGGAGTGATTAGACTATGTGATGAGTGATTATTGGAAGTAAAAAGTTGAAGAAATGTGGCACTAATGCATGTTAATCAACTCTTTGGAAATATGTGGGCCCCCCATTTTTGAGCAAGTGTGACCACCAGAGCCTGTGAATTCCCCCCACCCCCTGCCATCCCACCTGCACAGAGCAGGTCGACGTGGTGGATAATGAGCACCATGAAGAAGCTCTGCAAGTGCTATAATCTCCTGAAAACATTGGTAGATGTTACTGGGATACTCCCTGCCTCCTATTTGTTCACACTTCTGTCATGCTGGACTGGACTGACAGTCAGTGACATGAGTGTGTTAGGAGAGTGATGTGGTACAGACATTCTCCTGGAGGGGGGACAGAATAGGGAGCGCCGGGGAAATATCATGGACCATGTTCTTGGAGATGGCCGTTAATGTTGCTTCCCTGGGGGGGGAGGGAAATATATATATATGTGTATATATATATATATATAGATAGATAGATAGATAGATAGATAGATAGATAGATAGATAGATTCTTTGAGAACTGGGGTTGCTGCCCTAAAGTTCTGGAAGGAAGGGGATTGCTCCCTGGCTCAGTGAACAGAGAAGGGTGGGAGGATTTTCTAGCTGGAGGAAAATAATTAAATGTGAAATTTGGATTTTTCCAAGAGAAGGTTAGGTAATAGATAAAAAGATCTTGTGCCTATTTTTAAAGCATCTAGAGCTATTGAGCACTTCACAAGGGACCACGTGTGCTTTCTCTCAGATGACTAGCATTTATGGCAACCATTCTCCAGTGTCATTCTCCAATCCCCACCCCTGCCCTGGGCTTTCACATTTCACTGGTCTGGGATCGGACTTCCCTACCACACAGGTGCACTCTTTAAAGCATCCATGGGGATTCTAAGGTGTAGCCACGGTTGAAGAAAGGATACGAAGCTGCAGGTCTAGTTCCTCCCAGAGCACACACGTACCACTTAAGGGAATTCCTATAGTACTCCCTATTTTCATAAAGGGATAGAATCATGAAAATAAGGGTACTGCCTGTGTTTTAAGGAGCTTTAGTGGTGTAGTGGTTAAACATCCAGCTGCTGACTAAAAGACTGGTGGTTTGAACTCACCAGAGGAAGAAAGATGAGTCAGTCTGCTTCCCTAAAGATTTACAGCCTTGGAAACCCTATGGGACAGTTCTGCTCTATCCTAAAAGCTGCTGTGAGTCCGAACTGACTGTGTGGTCATGGGTTTTCCCTGGATTTTCCTTCTTTTCCTCTTATGAAAATGCAGGTGCTCTTTAGCTAGCTGTATATACCAAATCCCACACATGTAATTAAAAAATCCTTATCCTGGTTTATGTCATCCTCCTCCCTTGTTTTAAAAATAATCTTCCTTTAAATCTAAGACTTGGGTAGTTAGTTACTGGGTAATCCCGTCTGACTGTGCTAGGAATAGAGGTAGCATCAGAAACAGTTGCCCCATATGCAACCAGAGGTCCTCTAGTTTTCCAGGGTGGCTCATGCCTTCCCCTCCACTCCCCCCACTCACAGCTGCTGAGGAGGATGGATGGCCAGAATGCTCAGCGATAAAGAAATTCTGAAGAGAAAAGGATTCATCATACTTATGTCTTCACGCTTGGGCTAGAGATGCAATCATCAGGAAAGTACAGGTGAAATGTAGAATGGTTTCTAAGTTACTGATTAGGCCACGTCAGTCTTTGGTGAGCTAGAAGAGAGTAAAAACCAAAAAAACCAAACCCGCTGTCATCGAGTTGATTCTGACTCATAACAACCCTCATAGGGTTTCTGAGGTGGTAAATCTTTATGGAAATAGATTGCCCAGTCTTCTTCCACAGAATGGCTGGTGGGTTCGAACCACCAACCTTTTGGTTAGCAGTCAAATGCTTTAGGCACTGTGCCACCAGAGCTCCTTAGGAGAAATAAGAATGAGACTATTTCTCAGAGTCTTCAGTCGAACACACTGCTCCACTGATGCTCCAGGTATTTGCTCTGAGGAGGCAGGCTGTGGGCACAGGAAGGGAACAGTGGCTCCCCCACTGCTTCCTGTGGCCATGCCTGTCGTGTAGCTGTGCTTGTGGCATGGACAGAGTTAGGAGGGTTCATGAAGAGGTAGAAAGTCAGTAGAATTTAGAGACATTACTAGACTTACTGTTTTTTAAATAAACTTTATTTCTTAGAACTGTTCTAGGTTTATAGAAAAAAATAGGTCTTCACACTGCTTTTTGCTTACAATCCCTACATACATACATACATTCATGGAACCTTCAGTCTGGGCTGACGCGTTCAAGTACCTTCTCCGTGTACACCCACACTGCCTGCCCTTCATAGTTACAGGCAGGACACTTGGTTCAGTCGATAATTCTTTGGTGATTCTTTCCTACTCTCTGCAAAGATAGGAGGAACACTGCCCCACACTCTTTCACAGGTTTATGGTCAGTAAGGTGTTGGTAGCATTGTTAAGACAGCACAATTCAGGCATAGGAGTCAGACAGAGCTGAATTTAACACTCTGTCCCCTCCCAGTTACATGAGCCTGGGTGGTGGCGCTGAATCATAGTCCCTCTTCTGTAATGTCAGACAATAACCCACTGAGTATGAAACTTTTGAGAGGGAGATGAGATGGAATGTGTACATACTTAGCACTGTGTTTGGCACATAGTGAGTGCTCTCAAAAGGACCATTGCTATTGTTACTGCTTCGTTACTTAGACTCCTTCATGTAGGCTTAAATATATATTCTTACAGAAGCACCAGGGAAGAAAGAAGAGGGATAAAATCTTCAATCTTTATAGTTCTCTGCTGAGGGTCCCTACCAGGTAGTCACTGTCCTTCCCACCAAGGACACCAGAAAGCAGCTGCTGCCTCTGAGGCCAGTGTGTTTGAGACTCTGTTTTTCTTTCCCCACCAGAGATTTACTGCTGTGGCCTGCTTAGCTCCAGAAAAAGTGACTGCACAGGCCTGCCTCTGTCCATGCTGGCCAACCCAGCCACTCCTCAGTCCCGAGGACAGTACCGAATCAAGATGAAAGGGAATATGTCTCTGATCTGCTGGTATAACAAGGGGCACTTCCGCTTCCTGACCAATGCCTACTCTCCAGTCCAGCAAGGTACTGGTGTGTGTATGTGTAGGGATCTGGTGAGCATGTCACAAGGGGTCTGAGTAGGCATGCAAGACATCTGGTGATGCAAATGTTAATCCTTTCTCAGCTGGGCACCCCTGTTAGGCTAATCTTTTTGTTCATCAGCCTGGGGCCATGCTGAGACAAGCTGCTTTCCTAACCAGGAGGCAGAGGGGCGGCAAAGTGCTTCCTGAGCAAACAGTGAGCTCTCCCTTACTTGTAGGCTGTCAAAGGAACAGTGATAATGGCCTGTGCAGGTAACTAAGAAGCTTCCTGTAAGTCCCCATGTTGTACATGGAGTGTAATAATTGGCTATGTTCTGATGGCATTTATATGATCACTTTATCATCTGGGGTTCTGTGAAAAAATTATCCTGACAGGAGGGAAAAAAAATCAACTGCTCTTATCTTTTAGTGTCTTCCTTATAAATTGCATTTTCTGGGGGTTCAGTTCATTTCTTCATTGATTTTCTTTTTCTCTGTTGTGATTTCAGATCTATTCACAACAAAGACATTTATCCAGCAAGTGATTTGTTATACAGTCATGCGCCACATACGTCTGCTCAGGAAACATCCAACTGCATATATGCCCATGGTCCCATTAGGTTATAACAGAGTTCAAAAGTCCCAATCAGAAAATGGCAAGTAGTGAATGCAATAGCTTCCCATGTACAACATATCTATCTCAAGTCTCCTATATACAAAGCAATTACACTGCCAGGCATATAATGGTACAGTTCATATATAACTTAAAATACATATGTCTTCAAAATCATAATAGATGCCTATGTTACTTATTGGCTTATTATGTATTGCATTGTACTTTCTATTAAAAAAGTTTACAGTGAAACAGTATATGCTTTGACTCATAGGCAGCAGCATCCAATCTCTTGAGTGTTGTAGCATTATCACTCTGTTTAATTTTCTTTTGAAAATATTACTGTGAAGTACATCATAGTTCCCAAACACAGCAAAACCATTGCTAGTGATAGCAGCAGCAAGAGGCAAAGAATTATCCATTTGGAAGAGTAACAAAAGGTTATTAACAACAAGAAGGTGGAAAATCAATGAATGCTATTGCTCATGATTAGGCATGTCAAACTCATGAAGATCCTCAAAGACAAAGAAAAAATTCTCCAAATTGGTAAAAGATTGATTCCACTGAAAGCTACAATGCTAGTGAAAATGTGAGAGGTCCTGTATCAGATATGGAGAAATTGCTAATGATGTGGATTGAAGACCAAACGCAAAGATGAATCCCTATCAGCACGTTGATTATCATTGCTAAGGCACAAAGCTTCTCTGAGATGCTTAAAGAAAAAGCATGACTAGACTACGATATGGTGTTCACATAACATCCAAATCACATAATGTCCTATTTCACAGAATGCATCATGGACCTTAAGTGATGCATGACTGTATTTAATTATCCTACAGCAGAAACTTTATTAAACTGCTGAAAAGGAAATTGAAGTGACAGAAGGGTTGTTGTTGTTGTTGTTGTTATGTGCCATCGAGTCAGACCTGACTCATAGCAACCCCTCCTTGGGTTTCCAAGGTGGTATCACTACAGAAGTAGATTGCCCAACCTTCCTTCTGAGGAGTGGCTGGTGGGTTTGTACTGCCAGACTTCTGGTTAGCAGTCAAGTGACTTAGGCACTATGCTATCAGAGCTTCTGTCAGAATGGTACTATAAAAAAATATTTACAGTTGTATAGTTCCAAAGAGTCAGTGAGGCTGTATCTTCTGACCTCCTCTAACCCCACAAGAGGAAGACAGAATCACCATCAGTAGCCCAAGGCCTATCCCTGTGAGGCCAGACATGCCACCTCCCTCCAACTCTTTCACCAACCCTGACACCAACTGTTCCTCCCACAGCACCCACCACCTTTCTGCTGGGTTCAGTAATTTGCTGCAGTGGCCACACAGAACTCACAGATTATGGGGTTTATTAGGGAAGCAACAGGGTACAATTGAAGTTCAGGAACACGCTCAGTCTCTCTCAGCCCACTGTCTCTCAGCCAACAGTCTCTCTCAGTCTCTCAGCAGTGTGTGTCTCTCACCTTTCTCTCTCAGCAATGCGTGCCTCTCGCATCTCTCTCTCAGCAGTGCATGTCTCTCACATCTCAGCAATGCATGTCTCTTGTGTCTCTCAGTAATGCATGTCTCTCAGGAACACATTTCTCTCAGCAGCATGTCTTTCTCAGCCAGCAGTCAGAGAGACTCCTTCTGCTTCTAGGAGGGCTCCTTTTGAGCCTGGAAGAGTGGCCAAACTAACTAATCCCAACATCAGAGTTCTACACACCTGAGAGAGAGCAAACATCCCCAGAAAATTACTTCATGGTGCTCCCAATAGAAATACCCCAGGTGGATAACTTTAACAATCAGGAGCTACTCAGTTGCTCACGACAAATTCCACCATGGAGTTTACAAAGACTCATGGCTAGAAAAGTCACACTATGTAATATACTACATCCCACGTAGTATATTTGCATGACCCCTTATGTGCTTTTACATTATGATATATTTCTTCTTCACTTTTGAGGAGTCGTGGTGGTATAGTGGTTAAACCATTTAGCTGCTAACCAGAAGGTCAGTGGTTCAAACCAACCAGTTCCTCCACCGGAGAAAGATGAGACAGTCTGCTTCCTTAAAGACTTACAGCCTTGGAAACTCTATGGGGCAGTTCTACTCTGTCCTATAGGGTCGTTATGAGTCAGGATCGATTTGATGACAGTAGGTTTCAAAAGATTCTCACTTTTGAAGAAAGATTACCAAGGAACTCAATGGGATGTGTGTATGTATGTGCAAGTGTGTGTGTGTGCACATGCACAATGAGTTTAACGTATGTTGTTAATTTGTTCCAGTCTTTTATCCCTCTACCTAAATTGTATTGAAAATAAAATTAAATTTCAGTCAAGATTGTAATCAGGAACTGAAGCTTATGTGTGTCACTCCCAGTTGAGGCTCAGAGGGGTATAGACAGCCTCACTTGCCAGTGTGAGGTTAAGGGCAATGCAAGGACAGATTTGGCATTGGTCCTGTGTGCTAAAGGAGGCAGCTAGAATTGGGCTTTCAGCTCTAGAGCTTAGGAGTCAGGTGCAGGGGAAGGGCATTTCTGGAAAAGATGTTTGAGAACAAAGGGCAGGAGCTGCTTCCCATCATACTGTTTTTCAGTGACATACTCTGAAAAGGAGTCCCAAAGCAGTACACGGCATCTCTCTGGGCTGTGAGATGAAATAATGAACAAAAGAGATGCACTAGGGAGGTTGGGATGAAAAAGTATATGATTCAGCATGCAAATCTTAAAAAGTCACCCCAACCCTTAAGTCAAGGAATCAATCAATATCTTTTTAATATGCTGAAACTTAGTGTTTATTTTTAATGTGGTTACTATTTTCATTCCCAAAGTACTGTGAAATATCTAAGTCTTAAAATCCCAAATCCTAGACTCCTTTATAAACCCCAAGGACCAGCATTGCTCCTCATCAAGAGTGAGACATCTGCATTTGGCACATCCTTCCGAGGACCATTTCCTGGGTGTCTCACCCCAGCACCCATTCCATGGACAGAGCTTTAGAAAGCACTCCTTGGCCAGGGGAAAGCTATGTGGACTACCTGAGCCAGGGCCACACTCAGTGGGAGCACTACAGGGTGAGCAGAGAGCCCAAACCCCATAGTCATGGCAGCAAGACTTTCACCAGGGGAGTCTGAGTCTCACCACGGGAAGGAGAGATTTAAAAGAAGAGATTTTAGGCTCTAGGTCAGCTATTCCTCCCTACTGGAAATCCTTTCTAAACCAAATCCAAATCTTGGGATTTGTTTCTTTTTATTAATAAAGGGATATAGTTTTCCTTTCAGTCTCCAACAACATGATTTTTAAAAAATACCTAGTATTCCATTCTTTTAGATTTTCCAAAATTACTTTATCTACTCCCCATATTGATGATCAGTTATTTCACTATTATGAATGATGATGTCTTAAACATCTCCATACTTAACTCTTTTGGTACATCTTTGATCATTTCCTGAAAATAAATTTTTAAAAGTGAAATTTCTGGGTCAAAGGGTACAAACATTTTTAAGGTCCCTGAGTGCTGCAAATGATTTGTGCTTGACTATTAACCGAAAAGTTGGCATTTTGGACCCACTCGATGATTCCATAAAGTTTATTGCCAAGAATATCCCATGGATCTCAGTTCTATTTTGTAACACAATGGGTTGCGATGAGTTGAATCAACTCAAAGTCAGTGGATTTGTGTGTGTATGTGTGTGCGTGTGTGTGTTTAATTTTCATCACAATAGATAACAAGGGAACCCATTTTTTTCTAGCTTTGCCAGCACTGTTATCTTTTTGTTTTTGTTGTAACTGTCAGTCTGGCAGGTGAAAATGCAAAAAAAGGAAAAGTACAAATAGTTACATAATATGTTACAGATTAGAAGCTCTAGTGGCACAGTGCCTAAGGCATTTGACTGCTAACTGGAAGGTTGGCGATTCAAACCCACCAGCCGCTCCACGGGAAAAAGATGGAACAGTCTACTTCCATAAAGGTTTACTGCCTCAGAATCCCAAAGGGGATTGCTATAAGTTGGAATCAATGCAATGGCAAATTGTGACAATATGTTTATTGGCAATAAATATCAATATATTTATTGCATTGGCAATAAATATCAGTATATTTATTGCCTAATTTTGATTGATTTCTTCACAATTTTTTTCCAAGTTTTGTTTTGAGGTGCTTGTCTTTTTCTCCTTACCTTGAAAGAAAATATTTTTCCCCAGAAACAGTCAAAGTTCTGTGTCTGAAAACTAAAAATTAGGAAGTCTGATATTTTAAGAAGCTATAATCAAGCATATTTTTGTAGTTTTACTTCTGCATTTGTTCTTTTGTTTTTATTTATGGCTAGTGTTTTTTAAGATTTAAAAAAAAAAAAAAAAAACCTTTCTAAATAGGCAAATCTACTATGTTGACCATACTCTTTGCTGGA